CTGTGAACTGCCGTTCACTTAGAGTTTGTATACTCTTGGAAGTCAAGCTTCCTCTGTGAAAGGTGCCGTGTGACCCGTCACAGTCGGTGGCCTGAGCTTAGCTTCCTCTAAGCAAAAAGCTATAACAGCGCCGCTGAACTGTAGATTGACGACCGTGCTACCAAGCGCTACGGCATCCCTGCACTTGGTAGCACTCGCAATCAATCTACGCTTAAATCGTTACGACTGATCCGCTGTGAGGATGGAGCAATACTTGTAATGGGGTACACGGACCCGGGTGTAACGGAAATACACGTACCCTTGTATGAAAGTGCGGGTCACACAAGATGGTGTGAACGTACACAGATGTAAATTACACAAGTCCGTGTAATCACATCTTGGGGTAACCGATCCTGTGGTGCAGTGGTACGCCGCTCACTTCAGAATCAGGAGGTCCAGGGTTTAATCCACCGCCCGGGTAGAGAGGGGTTAGAGTGTAATGAGTAAAACCTTACAGCACGTGCTTGACATGGCTTACACGACTTTTAAAACAAGGTGTCGTTTCCCATCATATCACATCTTGGGGTGGTTTCACCGTAACAAGAAGCTACTACATGGCAGCATTGCCGGTAGTAATGCATATTAATTAGGTTTTACTATATTAATTAGGTATAACTATATTAATCAGGAAAACCCGAATGTTTTAGATATGAGCGGCTCTGACGCAACCAAAACATTCTAATACAGCTTCTATTTTGAACGGAAGAGCGTCAGCCTTGGTTAACGTTTTTAGTACTTTGAAGGTAGCGGATTATGATCCGCTACACTCGAACTGGTTCTTGTATAGAGCGTAAGGTCGGTGACATTAGCTCAGCTTCCTCTAAGCAAAGAGCTACGACAGCCCCGCTGTACTTGGTAGCACTCGTAGTTAATCTACGCCTAAGTCGTTACGACTGATGCTTTGTGAGGATGGACAATACTCCTACTTTCCCCACGGGCTTAACAAGCTGATGTTTCTACTTGGCCCTGAGGGTGTGGAACTCCTCGTTTCAAAAGGTCTTGAAGCGATAAACGCACGCCTTGAGGCACTTTCGTGATATGAAAATGCTCTACGGCAGAAGATGTTGGCGTCGACAGCGTCCATGACGCCACTGTCGACGAAGAATGACTCCACCAAACCCAGGCCGTTTATGGTGAGCGTTAAGACCTTCGAGAGTAAAGGTGGAGATTATCGTGAGAGAAGCCGAAATGGCTATGGCTCCCGCCATACTCAGAATCAGCAATAGCGCGTGTCGTTAGTTATCTCCAAGCTCGGCGGTCTAGCACGAGAATGGGCACTCACGTGCGGTGCTTCGGCTGAAGCTGCGTTTCCCCTCTGGAATGAGCGGAATCGTCAGCTTTTGCAAATTTCCTCGCCGCCTAACCAGGCAATTGGCGTGCGATCGCGTTTCTTTGCCGCCTGACAGGCCAAGAAGGAGTTGGTGGACTTTGTCCAAATTTTGCGATCTCTCATTGTTGGGATGGCAGCCGATCTTCTTCCTAAGGCGGTCCCTGTGACCGTCTATATGAAGGGCCTCCGCAATGACGTGGTCAGAACGGAAGTTTATCGTGTACATCCGTCTTCTTTTAAAGAAGCGGTGAATGTGGCATTTAATGCCAAACTCAGCTTTAAGTCGGCATGACTTGGTTGGAATGCACAACCTAAGAGCTCGTCGAGCGGGTATGAGCCGATGGACTCCACCTATGCTGAGATCGAGGGGGCAGAGCCCCGAGCTGCTGGGCAGCCATCAAACACCCGACGCTGTTTTGTCTGTGGGGACACCCGTCATATTCAGACGGGTTGTCCGCTGCGCATATAGCTTAAAGGTTCATCAAACCAACGTTCCGCTTTTGACCAGTCTGGTTTGTCGTGGGGAAACGAGGAAGCCCAGTAGGCGCGGGCGCCCTACTGGGGAAGAACTGAGTTCTGTTGAGCGAAGAGCTCAGTGCTCTTGAACACAAAACGTGTAGGAAAGCCGGGATTGCTGGTCGTAAAAGCGACCAAGAAGGGTGTCAGCTGTACGCTTAAGCGCTTAAAGCGCCGTTGAGTGACACCGTCACTTTTCGCTTAGTGACGGGGATCTGTGTCATTGTCCCGAGTGTCCCTGTGGAGCTCGATGTCAAGTTTCTTGACTTTGATAGCGTGGGACGCTGTTTAGTCTTATCCCTGAAATCAAAGTATGACCTTATTCTTGGTGTGTCATGGCTGGAACACCATGAGCCATGGATTGATTGGAGGTCGAAGACCTTGGGCGCTATCCTGGTTGAGCTCTGGTGAGTCATGGTTTAGCTCTGCTATGAAGCAGAAGCGCTATTGGCGCGGGAACTGGACCGGAACGGTCAATGTGCTGGAACGGAGTCTCCGAGTTGTCAAACACTGAGGGCGTATTGGTCAAGAGTCCCGAGCATGGGTCGCGGGCTGAACGTGAAATGGCACGTAACCCACTGAGCGCTGCTCAAGTATCAAAGCAGTCGCTTCATGATATGCGTGGCATGGTCGGTCAAGGGCCAAGATATCGATGGCTAGCAGTGATGCATGTAAAGTAGCACGTCGCTACGAAGCAGTTGCTGAATACCAAGAGTGGCATGGTCGGACTAAGACCGAGGCATCTTGGCCAAGGCCCTTCAGATGCGCGTGGAGTGGCACGTTATCCACTGGACGAAGACTGCGAAAAAAACAGTTCTTCGTCGGATGTTGTTAATATCCGATGAAGTAGAAAGTGGGGACACTGGACGGCGCCAAGCGCGTGTTTCAACTGGTCTTACCGAGACGTAAATCCGCTATAGAGAGAGACGGCGATGACGTATGTTATCTGCAAGATGCAAGGCGTCGACCCTGACCCAGGGTGTGTCTACAGTAGACGATAACCCATAGCTATATACCCTTATCAACGGTGTGACGGCGGAGGAAGACGGCGACATTCCCGCGGTATATACTCTTTTTGAGCTGGACGAGATGTCCTTTGAAGAGGTCGGTAGTGCCTTGAACCCAGGCGATACAGCCGAGGTGATCATTATATGACCGGACGAGGAGATTAACTCGTCGTCGCTTCTAGATGGAGCTGTCCTAGAGGACACCAAGAGGGTGCTGAACACAAGAAGTGAACCGTAGTTCCTGAAGGATCCCTCGGATCCGTACTATACTCTGATAGAGGAATTCCATGGCGTCGTCTCCAAAGACTCGCCGTCGGTCCTACCTCCGGACCGAGGTGTGCATCATGAGATTGACCTGGGTCCGGGAACCAAATACTGTGTGGCAAGCCATGGCCCCTGCCCGAGGAGCTGTATGACGTCATTGACGCCATTTTTCATGTAAAGCACGATGCATGAATGGTGCGTGAGAGCAAGTCTCCCCATTCGACACCCACGTTATGTGTCCGGAAGCCGAACGGCAAGTGGCGTACCGTTCACGTTTACAAAGAGCTTAACGCTGCCATCATTCCGGCACGGACGCTAATTCATTGTAAGGATGTTCTTCAGACCAACATAGTTGGATGTACAAAGTACAGTGCACTCGACTTGGCCGATGGTTATTACCAATTGCTCATGAGAGCGAGTGATATTCTGCTGACAGTGGTGAGTACTCCGAGTGGCATGCTCTGGGAGTGGCTGATGCTGCCTCAAGGGCTGTCAAATGCACCAGCAATATTGAATCCTCTTGTGACACATTTGTTCACGTCCCATTGTGCGTATGCACAGACATGCTAACATCTTCGACGACAATCGTGCGGAGCACGGGAGGACAGATGTGAGAAACCACATCGTATATTTGAGAGGAGTGCTCGAGTGCATCTGCACGAATAAGCTGTATGCTAATGCAGACAAGTGCATCTTCGACGCTGAAGAAATCTACTTCTTGAGGAGCTTCATTGGGGAGCGTGGCTTCGAGTGGATCCTTCTAAGGTCAAGGCCATTGTGGACTGGTTAATTCCAAAAGAACCAAAAAGACTTGCCCAAGTGTTTTGGCCTCGCCAACTACTTGCACAAGTATAGCGCAAATTATGCAGTAATTGAACGGCCATTATCGAATCTCCTTAATAAGGATGCGGAATGGCGCTGGGACACCGCGCATCGGAAGACTATTGACG